TAAGCTACTGATATTATTAAAACAACCATATGCAAACACAGAAACCGTATACTAATCCATATTCAGTCACAGCATATAAAGGTGGAGGTAAGTAGGGTATTCAATAGATATTTTCTCAGCAAAGTATAAAATTTAGCATTCTTTGATTTTGTATCTCTTTGAGCTTGGTTTTTCATGTCAGAGCCTTACTACATAGCTCTGAGTGGCCTGGGAAATTTCTTTGTAGGCCACGAACTCATGACAGTATGTCCTGCCTTGGCTTCCACACTCGACAGTAATTTGTAATCTTATGTTTCTAAATTTAATGGAGAAATGTCAGGAAATAGAAAAAGTGCAGTCATTAAAAGCACTATGGAAATCCACACATACCACCCTGTGATGCCACTGTTATCTGAATGCTTATAACTTAGTGGGAAAACAAAAATGTCAAGGAAAAGAGAAAAAAATGCCATAATTAACTGCAAAAATGTGTATGGTCTACAGATTCACGCCCAGTTTTGGAACAATAAATTCACAAAGAGTTATTTCAGGGCTAAATTTAATAATTTAGAAACATAATTTTTGTGTGACAAAGAGTGGAAAGAACACTGGGGTGGGAATGTCACCTAGATTCTTGTGCTGGATAGCTTTAGTGTCAACTTGACACACCTGTGTTGAGGGAGCCTCAATCGGGGAATTGCCTCTATTGGACTGGCCTGTGCCCATGTCTGAAGAGCATCTTCTTGATGAGTGATGTGGGAAGGCCCAGCCCACTGTGGGTGGTGCCACCCCTGGGCAGGTGGGCCTGTGTTGCATAAGAAAGCAGGCTGAGCAGGGGTCAGGGGAGCAAGCCAGTAAGCAGCATTCCTACATGGTCTCTGTTGCACCTCCTGCCTCCAGGTTTTTTCCCTCAGTTCCTATCTTGAGCTGCCTGATAAACTGTGATCTGGGAGATGTAAGACAAATAAACCCTTTCCTCCCAAAGTTGGTAGTGGTCACTGTTTTGTCACAGCAATGGAGAAACAAACTAGAACATAAATTGTTATCAGAGAGTGGGGCACTGCTGTGACAGATCTGACCTTGGTGTTCCTAGGAGCATTATGTAGGCACTTGGAATTTTGGGCTGGAAAAGCCATTGAAGGTTCTTGCCCTGAGTTCCTACCTTGGGCTCCCTGATGAACTGCATGAGACCTGGGAGATGTAAGACAAATAAACCCTTTCCTCCCCAAGTTGGTACTGGTCAGATTGTTTTGTCACAGCAATGAAGAACAAACTAGGACAATTCTCATTGAAATTCAAATCCTGAGAGTCCAGGGTGCAGTTGGAGCTCAGGCTGGGGGCAAAGGTTGTAGCCTGGCTCCTCACCAGGCTTTGACTGTTCACTGGTTCTGAAATACAGAACAGATTGTTAAGGAATTCCATCTACAGAAGGGTTTGATTATAATGCCTGCATTAATTGATTATAGTACCTAGTTAATTTAGTTAACACACATAAAGTGCTTAGAAATGACCAAAATTTCATAAAGAATAAAAAACTGCTGGATATTGCTAACACTCTGCTGATTATTTGACTGATTTTTTTCATATCCATAAGATTCAGGACAGGACAGTGAACCAATATACATACCAAAATCTCATAAAATATGCATCCTTGTATGGTATGTGTTGTTAATAACTGTCATTGTGTGAAAAATTTAGAAGCTTTTTAACATTAATGTCAATGAATTATTAGATAGTTTAAATTTAATTTTCTAGTTTCGGTGTGAAAAATGTTTAGAAGGTACTGGAGACCCAGAGTGTAAACCTTTTGAGCCAAAGAGAACTGCACTACTTTTCTACCCTAAACTGAACTATTAAATATATTTGTGAATTCATGGATGTGTGATTCATCCTATGATGGAATGTACTCATGAGAAGTTTTAAGATAGGTACTGGACTCTGTAATTCAAAGCACATTTGTAAAAATACTACAACTTTAAAAATATTACAATAGTCTGGGGCTAACAAAATTTCCTGGAACACTAAGTATACAGCCAAATATTTTTTGAAAATGACTTTCTGCTACGTAAAGGATTTTGTAACTATATAGTTTTCATAAAAGATAACTATGCAAAGAACACCTTTCAAATAGAATGCATATGTGAATCACTACATGATTTCATATGTGTTCCGGATATCATAAGTCAGATTCTTCTCTGATGAAGCCATTTCTCTAGTTGACAACTGTCAAAGCCACCTAAAAAACCCATGAATATTAAAACACTGTTCACCAGCACATTTGGCATTTTGAAGTCAGGCAAATGGAACTCATGAAATATGAAAGGAGAGCTCCATGTCGCTTTGTAGAAAATGTTGCCATTAAGATGATCTATGGAGAAATTCACACCTTCATCTGCTGGGACTGCTCAACTGCATTTTCAATCAACTCTATTACTTTGCCTTGATAGTGTTACCATTGGATTATGCCCTTCTTCTTGCCTGAATTTAGGAGGTCCCAAAGCTATGCCCAAATGAAAGACTTCAAGCTATTTTTGTGTGTGTTTTTACCACAGATGTATGGTTTTATTGTGTTACAACCATTAATAGATTCTAAAATCTTTCTATTCCAGCTACCAGGAATAAGCCAGGTATGTTCCTTGGCACAATATACATGATCAGTTTTTATTATTACTTTACTGGTTTGAGCAGTCCAAATTTATTAGCAAAGTTTGATGTGTTGCTTTTATAGTCTAGCCTCAGGTAACTTTCTTCAGCTATATTTCTCTTCAAGATTAGTAATATTGCACACTTGCCCATCATTCTTGAGAGATCTGCCTTTCATTTAATGTATGAAATTTTACATCTGAATCACTTGGAATAAGCCTGTAATCATTTTTCTTTGCCCTAGTTTATACTATTCTGAAATATCAGAATAGAGTCCTTATTTTAAAAGAAAAGGAAAAATACACCACATTTTAATTTTTGTGAAAATGAAAATTTACACTAATTAATTAAATCACACACTCATATATGCATGTACTCATTGAAAAAATCAAAATTGTTATTTAGTGCAGTATTTATAATTACTGATAAAAAATATTTTGCTTTGCCAGGCATGGTGGCACATGCCTTTAATCCCAGCAATCAGGAGGAAGAGGCAAGGGGGTTTCTCTGAGATTAAGGCCAGCCTGGCTCACATGGTGATATATATATACATACATATATATATATATGTATATATATTCCAGTTTTTTCTGTAACTCTTCAAATTTAACAGTGTGAAACAAAATGATTTTTGTTTTACTACAAAGCTCATTTTATTGCTGCTGCATCAAAATTATGCATGCAGTGCATAATCATGAAACCCATCTTCTGTAATTCTTCTATCATGTTCTGTAAGACAACTACACTTTCTTGCATGAATTAAGTTGTCAAAATTACAGGACTGCATACATTTATTTACAAAGTGACAAATATTTTGCTTATACTAAACCTATAGGATTCTATTCACTTTTTTATTGTCTATTTTTTTGAATTTTTGTGCATTTCTTACAATACATGTTAATCATATTTAGACCTTCCTCTTGCATTTGTACCCCTATTGCCCCCCAGTGGATTTCACGCATTCTGTCATATATGGTAAAGCCTATCGAATCAAGTTTGTGTCACCAGATATCCCCAGGTGTGAGTTCATTCACTGGAGCCTAGTAGGACTACAGAATTTTGTACTCTTATCCTTCGGCAGATTGAAGAAGGGTGTGTAGGCCTTAAATCATCCAGTCTGATTTTCAACAGGAAATTCATTTATAACTACAATGGATTGTTAGCTTATGTTAACTTGACACAAACTAGAGTCACCCAAGAAGAGGGAATCTTACTGGAAAATTAACAAGATCAGATTGGCCTGTGACCATGTATGTGAGGCATGTTCTTAATTGCTAGTCGATGTGGATGGGCTCAGCCCACTCTGATGATGCCATCTCTAGGCATGTGGGCTTGGGCTGTATAAGAAAGGTAGCTAAACATGAGCCAGAGAACAAGCATGTTAGCAGGGTTCCTCCAGAGTCTGTTTCAGTTCTTGTGCCCCGGGTTCCTGTCTTAAGGTCCTGCCCTGGATTACCTTAAGGGACTGTAACCTGTAAACCAAATAAACTCTTTCCTCCCTAGGTTGATTCTGGTCAGTGTTTTATCACAGCAAAGAAAGCAAGCTAGAACATATACTATATATGTGTGCTGGATATTCTAATGTATATGTTGATATTGCATGTTATTCAGCCCAAAAGTATGTATGCATGTACATGTACACACACACACACACACACACACACAAACTCACACACACACACACACACACACACTCACACACACACACACACACACACACACACACTCACACACACACACACACACACACACACACACTCACACACACACACACACACACACACACACACTCACACACACACACACACACACACACACACACTCACACACACACACACACACACACACACACACTCACACACACAAAAGTTCCTTGAAAACATCTGACATTGAAGGATAGTTAATTTGCCTTTCTCTGTTCCATTTTTAAAATATCATAAAAGGGAAATCAAGTTCATGGTCCACTCTTCATGTAAATTAAATAGTATTTTGAAAGCTGTATTAGTTCTTGTCACAGAGAAAGGATTCACGGTGTGACATTATGTATTGTATTATATGACCTGCATTTATTGCATATACAAGGGGACATAGAGACTTAGGAACAAATCTAAGGAGAACTGTGACTTGTTTAGATATAATAATCTGGTTAAGTCTTGAAAGCTCACTGGAAACAGATTCGAGCAGCAATATTAGGGCATGCAGAAAAAACAATGTTGGGCTTTTCAACTAATAATCTAGCATTTTAATCATATTCATAGAATTTTCAGGCCTAGTCTAGTATTAGTGAAAGAAAAAGTGTCTTCTACATTTAGTGTGATAATATAGCATGTTTCTAAGCTTTTAATAGTCTAAATCATATTTTAAAAATAAAAATAAATGCTTGCTTGAGCAGTGCATATAGTAAGATAGGAATGAAACAGAGAAGAATAACATAACCCATGTGAAAAGAAAATAAATCAATCTATTAAATGCCACATATTTTTCAATATTTATGGTCTCAATTCCCATTCAACAAAGACACCAACTAACTGATTGGAGTAGAAAACAGGATTCATTAATTTTTTGCCTCCAAGAAAAATATCTCACTATACATGATAGACATAATATTAGTGTACAAGGATGGAAGAGGTATTGCAAGCAAATGTAACTGAGAAATAAGCAGGAGTAGCTCTTTTAGTAGCTGCCAAAATAGACTTCAAACTAAAACTAGTTAGAAGAGGAAAGGTCACTTTACAATCATTAAAGGAAAAGTACACCAAGAGGAATCACAATCCTAAATATATGTGCACTAAACACATGGGCTACCAATTTTGTAGAAAAGAAAATCTTTTAGATCTAAAACCACATATTGAGTCCAACACAGTGATAGCAGATGACTTCAATACTTCACCAACACCAATATATGGGTCGTCCGGACAAAAGGTAAATAGAGAAACTGCAGAGTTAAATGACACCATAAATAAAATGTACCTAGCACACATTTACAGAACATTTCTCCCAAATGTAAAAGATAACATGTTTTTCTCAGCAACTCATGTAACTTTTCCCCAATTTACCACATATTAGAACACAAAACAAGTCTCCACAAATTTATGAAAACTGAAATATCATCCTGTATTCTGTCTGTCCATGGAATAAGATTAGATATCAACAATAGAAAAGGTATGCAAATTCATGGAAACTGAAAAAAATGCAGTACTGAATAAGAATTGGATTAAGGTAGAAAACAAGAAGGAAATTTAAAAATTCATAAAACTTTATGAAAACATAAACATGACACACCAAAATCTATGGGACATAATAAAGGCAGTCCTAAGAGGAAAATTTATAGCACTAAGTGCCTATATCAGAAAATTAGAGACATTTCTTATGAATAACTTAATGATGTACCTGAAGTCCTCAAAAAACCAAGAATAAATGACACCTAAAAAGAGAAGATGGGGAGATAATTGAAATAAAAAATGAAGTCAATTAAATAGAAATGAAGAAAATTATATAATCAATGAAAGGAAGAGTTGGGTCTTGAAAGATTAACAAGTTTGACATACCTTTAGCTAAATGAACCAAAAGAAATAGAGGATATAAATTAGAAAACTCAGAGATGTAAAGGCAAACATTACAATAAACCTGAAGAAATCCAGAAAGTCATAAGGATATAGATTTAAAAAATTTACATTATACTGTACTCAAAATATAATAAAAATGGATAAATTCCTAGATATTTATGTCTTACCAAAATTAAATCAAAATGATAAATATTTTAAAAACCAATGAAATAGTTGCAGTAATTAAAAATCTCTCAACTAAAAGAAAAAGCCTAGGACCAGATGGACTCAGCATAGAATTTTATGAAATACTTCAAAGAATTAATACCAATATTCTTAAAATTATTCCATCAAATAGAAAATAAAGTACATTCCCAAGCAATTTCCATGAAACCAGTATTACTCTGAAACCACACCTGACAAAACCCCAATGAAAATAATATTATAGGGGCTGGATAGATGGTTCAGTGGTTAAGAACTCTAGTTGTTCTGGCAGAAGACCCAGGTTTGAATCCCAGCACCCACATGGCAGCTAACAACTGTCATTCCAGTCTCAGGGGAGCCAACAGCCTCTTCTGACCTCCACAAGCATTGCACGACACGGGTGCACTTACCTACATGCAGGCAATACACGCATACACATAAAATAAAAATAAAGTTAAAAAATAATATTATAGCCCAATCTCTCATAAACATAGATGTAAAAATTCTCATTAAAGTGAAATTTATTTGCAAGAAAACATCAAAAAGGTTTTGTACTATGATGATGTCGGGTTGATCCTAGAGATGCGAAGATGTTTAAACACATGTAAATCAATAAATGTAATCCACCACAAAACAGAATCATGGACAGAAACCACATGTTTATCTCATTAGATGCAGAAAAACCATTTGACAAAATCCAACAGCATTCATTTTGATAAAAATCATGGAGAATCTAGGGATCACCATACTAAAGGCAATATACTGCAAGCCCACAGATATTATAATATTCAACTGAGAAAACACAAACTTTCCCATTAAAGTCAGGATTGACTCTCTCCATTCTGTTCAATACAGTACTTAAAAGTCTTAGTTTGACTAATAAAACAGATGACCAGATAAAGAGGATCCAAATTTGAATGGAAGAATTAAAAGCATTCTTATTTGCAGAGGATATGATTCTATATATAAAAGGCCTAAAGATTCCACCAGAAAAATCCTAGAGCTGATAAACCCATTCATCAAAGTAGCAGGATATAAAATTAACACCTGTAATTCAGTAGCCTTTATATAACAAACATCCTAGAAATCAGGAAAGCAATATCACTCATAATAGCTCCCCAAAACTTAAAGTATATAGGAAAAAGATCTAACCAAGGAATAAAGAACTTGTATAATAAAAAATTTTAATACTTTGAAGAAAGATAAAAAAATAATAACAGAAGACAGAAAGACTTCCCATGTTCACAGATTTGTGGAATTAATATTGTGGAAATTGGCCATCATCCCAAAAGCAATCTACAGATTTAATGCAATGCATACTGAAATTCCAACACAATTCTTCACAGAAATTGCAAAAAAGAAAAAAATCTCAAATTTCATTTGGAAACACATAAAAACTATTTAGGCAAAGCCCTACTGAAAAACAAATGCTGAAGGCATCACCATTCCTGATCTCAAATTATATTATACAGCTAGAATAATAAAATCAGCATTGTACAGGACTAAAATCAGACACACTGATCAATGGAATATCAATGTGAAAGAAAGCAGATTTAAATCCATGCACATCCAGTCAACAGATTTCTGACAAATAGGGAGAGAAACACACATTGGAAAATGAGAGCATTTCCAACAAGTGGTCTTGGTCATACCTGAAGTTATCAGGTCAAACCTGTATTTACACGTAGATGAAAGAATCTAGATCCTTATCTCTCACCCTGAACAAACCTCAACTCCAACTCAACTCCAAATGGATCAAGAACTTCATCATGAGACCTGATACCTTGAATCTGATAAAGGAGAAACTAAGGAATATATTGGAACTTATAGGCACAAGAAAGGGCTTTTTGAACAGGACCCCAATAGTGAGGGCAAGGACTTCAATAACTGATGAATGGAATCTTATGAAATTAAAAACCTTCTGTATTTCAAAAGATGCCATCATTTGAGTGAAGAGGCAACCTACAGAATGGGAAAAATAATCTTTACCAGCTATACATCTGACAGATGGCTAGTAGTCTAGTATATACAAAGAAGTAAAAAGAAAGTAAACATCAAAACAAACAGGCAAACCAATTAGAACTTTGGACAAAGAGCTGAACAGAGATTCTTTTCCAAAGATGAAATTAAAATGAGTGATTAATATTTTTAAAATGTTCAACATCTTTAGCCATCAGGGTAATGCAAATTAAAACCACTTTAAATCTCATCTTACCACAGGTGGAATTGATCAGATATAAAACACAACGACAAATGCTGGCAAGGATTTGGAGAAAGAGAAACTTTTATCCACTGCTGGTGGGAATGCAAACTATTGCAGCTATTATGGAAAAATCAGCATGGAGATTTTTCTAAAAAGCTAGATAGATCTACCCTATGACCCAGCTGTGTTACTCTTGGGCATATACCCAAAGAACTCTATATCCTATTTTAGAGATAACTGTTCTTTAATGCTCATTGCTGTTCTATTCATAATAGCTTGGACATGGAAACAAATTAGATGTTCATCAACTGAGGAATGGATAATGAAAATATGGTATATTTACACAATGGGATACTGTTCAGCTATTTAAAAATGAAATCATGTGATGAATTTCAGTGGATAGACCTGGAAACAATCATCCTGAGTGAGATAACCTAGACCCAGAAAGACAAAGTGGATGTGAGCTTTGAATCCTTAGATATACATGTTTTAATGGGAAAATCCATAAGGGTCAGGAAATCAGTAAACAGTCATAAGTGGAGGCAGCATCAGTTGAGAGATAGAATTTACTGCTAAAAAGTGGAATAATGGTGTAAGAAGGGTTAAATGGAGTGGAATGGGAGGGCAGGGTAGAAGAGTGAGTATAGAGAGGCAAAAATAACATTAAATATCTACAGAAAGATTCAAATAGGAACTTAACACTATAAAATTCTTCATAAGAAGAAACAACCCGAATGGGGGATAGTAGGAACAGATGTTACCTGAGAGCAGTGGAAAAAGTGGGAGTAACTGGCAGGGAGAGAGGAGGAGGGGACATGCAACGGACCATGGTGTAGGGAGGGAAGAAAGGAGAGGAAAGATGGCAGGAGCTGGGAGGTATTGGGGAAAGGGTGGGGATAATGGGGGCACTGTGACTAGGGAGGGAGGGAGCAGGGAAGCCAGATGGGAGAAAAGAATGGAGATGAGTCAATCTCCGGGGCGCAGGAAACCTAGAGGGAAAAGTGATGCCATAGAAACCCTATGAGAAATGTACATAGAGTGTCTGAACATTAATGTATATGTATATCTAGGAGCTGCTTGGCAAGGATAACAGCGCCAGACAGAAGAGACCTCCCTTAGAGTGCCAAGCATGCCATAAAGCATTCATCAAAGAAGCTTCTTTTTGCAACAGATGGAGGCTACTGCAGAGTTGCACATCTGGTCAGGAACAGAGAACATACACCTGAGAGATGCCCAGTACTAGGTGACACATCTGCAATCAAAACTCTACAACTAAGGCTCATGGAACATAGCAGAACAAGTAGTATAGAGAGGGCTAATGCATCTCACCTCTCACCAGTGAGGCTTCCATGTACAGCAGAGTGTGATACACAATACACACAGAAGGCCAAACTGGCCAAGTTTTGGAGAATAAGAGACTGTAGAGTGTAGGATGGGACTCCTATATGGAAACTCACCCACTCACAGCTCAGGGAACATCATGGAAGTAGAGGCAGAAAGATTGTAAGAGCAAGGGCTGGTTCATGAACAC